TTTCTATTCTATTCTATTCTATTCTATTCTATTCTATTCTATTCTATTCTATTCTATTCTATTCTATTCTATTCCTTATTTCTATTCTATTCTATTCTATTCTATTCTATTCTATTCTATTCTATTCTATTCTATTCTATTCTATTCTATTCTATTCTATTCCTTATTTCTATTCTATTCTATTCTATTCTATTCTATTCTCTTGGAGGTTTCAGACTCTCACTCGCTCATCCTGAGCTGGAGGGAGCTTTTCAAAGGGAATGCTGGAATCTCCCAGAGGAGGAGTGAAAGAAAAGTATTTGCCCTCCTTCCGCTCTTCCCCAGATCCCTCCTTTCTGTTGTTCTTAACAGAGAGGAAATTCCTCTGCCAAGAATCACCGAAAGGGCATCCAGTGTTGCAATTCCTCTCGCGCTGCTGCTGCTACCGCTGGTAACCTTCAGCCCGTCAAGTCTCTGCTCACATTCCTTCCTGGCCATGTAAGGCGCAGAGAGGAGCAAGGCTAGAGGGTGTCTCCGTGCCGACTGGTACCAGGTGGAAAAGGAAATCCTGCGGTCCACATTCCACCCAGAGACCACAAAAAAAAACAACCCCAACCCTCCCCCTCGTGGCTTCTGCTGCTTCAGCAGGGAGCTGGCAAGGCCCCCGGGTGAGTCAGGGCCAACTTGGTCCAGGAAAAGAGCTTGTGTTGCAACTAAGAGAGAAATTTTTGGATTCAGCTTTTTTTGACACCTGCATCTCAGGGACGCTGGCTGGACTAACGTTATTGCGCTGGCAATGGTCCCCCGTTTGGTCTGTGCTGCATCGTAAGGGAGGCTGCCACAAAGAGGAGGGGGTCAACTTATTTTCCAAAGCACCAGAGGTCAGGACAAGAAATAATGGATGGGAACTAATCCAGGAGAGAAGCAACCTGGAATTAAGGAGAAACTTCCTAACGGCGAGGACGATTAACCAGTGGAACAACCAGCCTCTAGAAGTGCTTCATCACTGGAGGTTTTTAAGAAGAGACTGGACAGCCCCTTGTCTGAAATGGTGTAGGGTCTCCTGCTTGAGCAGGGGGCTGGACTAGAAGACCTCCACAGTCCCTCCCAGCTCTATTCTGATTCGGATTCTAAGCTTAACCGGTGCAGAGCGGTGTTTCTCAACTTAGCAAAGTTTAAGGATTTAAGAATTCTGCGAGTCCACGTGTCTGAAAGTTGCCCTGGTTGAGAAATACTGTTTCAGAGCAAGGAAGAATATCGAGCAACGATCACAAGGCTGGTTTGAAGATCCACAGAAAACCTTCTGGACTATATCTGCCCTAACTCTCTTATAATCATGAACCTTTGATGCAGTTTTGATGCCTTGAGCATTTGCTGACAAGGAGGGATACGTTCTCTTCTCCTCTCTAGTAAATAGCAGTAGCAATAGCACTTGTATACCGCTTCACAATGCTCTACAGCCCTCTCTAAGGGGTTTACAGAGTCAGCATGTTGCTCCCCCCAACAATCTGGGTCCTCATTTTACCGACCTTGGAAGGAAGGAAGGCTGAGTCAACCTTGAGCTGGTCAGGATCAAACTTCTGGCAGTCAGCAGAATTAACCTGCAATACTGCATTCTAACCATTGTGCTACCATGGCAGATAGATAGATAGAAAAATAGATAGATAGATAGATAGATAGATAGATAGATAGATAGATAGATAGATAGATAGATAGATAGATAGATAGACAGACAGACAGACAGACAGACAGACAGACAGACAGACAGACAGACAGACAGACAGACAGACAGACAGACAGACAGACAGACTGACAGATGGATAGAGATAGGTAGATAGATAGATAGATAGATAGATAGATAGATAGATAGATAGATAGATAGATATACATATATATATAGAGAGAGAGACAGACAGAGAGATGACTAGATAGATAGATAGATAAACATAGATAGATAGATAGATAGATAGATAGATAGATAGATAGATAGATAGATAGATAGATGATAGATAGATAGATAGATATAGCAATAGCACTTAAGACTTATATACCGCTTCACAGTGCTTTACAGCTCTCTCAAAGCAGTTTATAGAGTCAGCATCTTGCCCCCAACAATCTGGGTCACGGGTGTCAAACTCGCCGTGTCACGTGACGTGTCGCAACGTATTGCAACTTTTTTTGCATTGCCGGAGCTGGGGTGGGCGTGGCCTCCATATGACGCAACCAGCCCTTGGGCCAGCAGTTTGACACCCCTGATCTGGGTCCTCAGTTTACCGACCTCGGAAGGATGGAAGGCTGAGTCAACCTTGAGCCAATGAGATTTGAACTGCTGGCAGTGGTCAGAGTTAGCCTGCAATACTGCATTTTAAGCACTGCACCGCCATGGATCTTTTGCGTCCCCACAGCTATTCTGCGCCACCAGTAACATCAATTCTGTTACCACAAATTAAGAGCTAGATGGCAACTAGCAACTGTATATTATTGATGGGAGGCTGGTGAATCACCAAAGGTCACCCCTCCCAAAATCTAAAAAAAAAAAGATGAAAGGTCCACAGTACCTGTGTAGCCAGGCAGACACTGGCAGACGTAATGGTCTATCTGGTTGTGGCAGGTGCCGTTGTGTTGACAAGGTTGGGAGGCGCATTCGTTGATGTCAATTTCGCAGCGGTAGCCCTGAAATCCCGGCACGCAAAAGCAACTGTATTCGTTGACTCGGTCGAGGCAGATGGCTCCGTTCTGACAGGGGTTGGAGGCACACTCGTCTACCTCCCCCTCGCAGTGGGCACCAGTGAGTCCCGGCGGGCACTGGCAGGTGTACGCCCCTCCATCCTCAAGGCAGGTGCCATTGTTGCAAAGTTGACTTGAACAAATGGAAGACCTTGATGGACAGATGTTTGCACTTGGGCAGTGACAGCCATACCCATCCTGGAGGTTGACACACTCAAAGCCAGGCTGAGGACAAGGGTTAGTCTTGCACTCATCCTCTTGGGATCTGCAAGAGACCTCTGCCAAACCGGACCCACAGTGGCAAGTGTAATTCAGGTATCCAGGTGTGCCACTGCAACTCCACTCAGGTGGACAAGGGTGTCCATCACACGGCTCAGCTAGCAACTCACAGTGTCTTCCCACGTAAGCTAGGGGACTGTGGGCACACAAACATTGGTAGCCACCTTCCAGGTCTCTGCAGGTTCCTCCGTTCTGGCAGGGAGCTGAGGAGCAAAAGTTGGCTGGTTCTGAAGTGGCTTGTCCTGGAGAGGAAAAAAACAACGATAAAGTTAGAGGAACATTCCCACCTGTGTTTGCATAGCTTTTGGTTGAGAGGAGAGCTCGGCCCCACGCCATGAGGGAATGGTGGCTAATTATGACCGTGATACGTGGCAAATCAAAATTAAAGGCTAAAAATTGCACATCTGCCAAAAGTAGATGTCACAACAATGGTGACAGCAGCTTGGAGGGAGAGGAGAATTTGATCCAAGCCTAATGAGACACGGGACAAAATGTCAGCTTCTAAAGCTTCTGGTTAGCGTCTAAATCATTACATTGACAAAATAGAATGGAATGGAACAGAACATAGAATATAGAATATGGAATAAACCTGGAAGGGACTTTGGAGATCTTCTAGTCCAGCCCTCTGCTCAAGCAGAAGAAACTATGCCATCCCAGACAAATGACTGTCCAGTTTCTTCTTAAAGACCTCCAGTGATGAAGCGCCCACAATTTCTGAAGGCAAGACGTTCCACTGGTGAATTGTCTTCAGTGTTAGGAAGTTTCTCCTTAGTTCCAGATTGCTTCTCTTCTTGATTAGTTTCCATCTGTTGTTTCTTGTCCTGCCTTCAGGCGCTTTGGAGAATAACTTGACCCCCTCTTCTTCTTTGTGGCAGCCCCTCAAATACTGGAATACTGCTATCATGTCCCCCCTAGTCCTTCTTTCCTCTGGACTAGCCATACCCAGTTCCTGCAACCGTTCTTCATATGTTTTTGTCTCCAGTCCTTTGATCATCTTAGTTGCTCTTCTCTGAACTTTTTCCAAAGTCTCAGCATCTTTTTTTGTAATGTGTTGACCAAAACTAGATGCACTATTCCAGGCATGGCCTTACTAAGGTCAGTAAGTTATAAAGCGGTACTGATAGCTGTGCTTCATGTGATTGGGTTTCTATGCTTCTGTTTATACAACCAAGGATGGATTGTATACCTGTGATGGTACTGTGAAGGTGTCTTATTTCCCCGGTCAATTTGTGTTTTGTATTCCAATTGCCTTTCATTTTTAGCATTACGGGCACCTCTTAGAAGTGATACAAGTCTCACAACTTGTTGGATTTTGCACTGTGCTGCTGTTCCTGCACAGAGGAGGGTCATCATGGTTGTGTGAGTGTGTGTATGGTCTACAAGCTCTGTCTCTTGTGGGTGCCCAAAGGCCAGATTCTTGAGAGGATACTCAACCTTTTTCTGCTTCTTGGGTGAAGCTACTGTCCTGATGATGATGATGATGATGATGATGATGATGATGATGATGATATGCCATCAAGTTATGCCATCAAGTTGTCCCAAGAGGCAACTGGACTTTGTTTTTCCTTGAAGATGTTTCGCTTGTAATCCAAGAAGCTTCTTCAGTTCTGGCTCAGTCTTCGGAAGTAGAAGCACCCAAAGGTGCTTTTTCAGGAGGCAACTGGACTTTCTGGTTTTTTTTCCTTGAAGATGTTTCACTTCTCCTCCAAGAAGCTTCTTCAGCTCTGACTGGATGGTGGGGAATGGAAGGAAGAAGCTTCTTTTGGATGTGAAGCAAAACGTCTTCAAAGAAAAACAAGAAAGTCCAGTTGCCTCTTGAAAAAAGCACCTTTGGGACAACCTTGACCTGGATGATGGAGAATCTCCATAGACATGCCATCAAGTTGTTGTTGACTCTTGGTGTCTTCATAGGTAGATGTTCTCCAAAACAATTTGTCCTTCACCTGGTCACTTCATGAGGACCTCTCTAACACTCGTCAGCAACTTCACACAGTATGTTCTCATCACCTTTCTTGATTCTCCTATCTCTGAACTTTTTTTTTCAAGGGTAACCTTAAGGCCGGACCATCCACCTGAAGATATTTTTGTCACCATCATTATCTACCTCAGGGCTTTTCAACCAATGGTACGGGTACCACCTGTGGTACATTGGCACCTGGCAGGTGGTACGCGACCATCCTAGGAAAGTGGTAGCGGGGGAGGGGAATGAGCTGAACCGGTGGCAGCACCACACAAGCCTGAGCGAGAGACGGCTGGAGCTACAGGGCTGTCAGAGCTCAGCGGAAGCGCCAGGATCAGCGCCAGGCTCCAGCTGGAGCTGGGCGCTGATCCTGGCGCTTCCGCTGAGCGCAGAAGAAGCGCCAATCAGCTGGAATGTTGCAGCATCTCCAGGGTCTTGTGATTTACATTCAGATGCTTGGCAACTGAGTCATATTTATGACGGTCACAGTGTCCCAGGGTCATGGGAAGTGACCAAAACCTGCTGCAACCACCCAGCAGATGGGGGGGGAATAAAAGCCAAACACCCCCCCACCCCACCCCCGCTGCCAATCCTCAACAGAAATGCTCACAACAATGGAAACCTCGGACAGGAGGAAGAGCGCGGCCAGGTGGGCAGGCAGGTGTCTTGCTCGGCTGTGGCTTGGGGGGGCACTTTTTTTCAGTGCCATTGTAACTTCGAACAGTCACTAAGCGAACTGTTGTAAGTCGAGGACTACCTGTACTTTTATCAGATTTTTTTTTGGGGGGGTCATCAAGTTTTTGACCCCTTGCTAGGCGACTGGTGGTCCTCGGATGTTGCCATATCCTAAAAGCGGTACAATGGGTGAAAAGGTTGAAAAGCCCTGATCTACCTCTTTTCTGCAATCCTTGGCTGCTCTCTGACGTCTACCTGGGTTGTTTTTTGACCTCCTTTTTTCATAATTTGCCTCTCTTAGCTGGGAAACGTTTCCAGGATGCTTTGCAAATTTCTGCTGTTTGTCCTCTCCCTTCTCTCCCCCCCCATTCCTGGGACCGTTGGGGGAGTGGGAGAAGCTCTGGCTTTGCCTTCCCAACACCCCCTTTGTCCTGCCCTCGCTGCTTTTATTCTCCAATCTCCACTCAAGCGGAGAACAGGGATGATCAAATGGGCCTGGTATGCATGGAGCAATTAGAGTGTGTAACTCAAGAGGCTGTTTTCCAACAGGGCAGCCCCACGGTTCCATTCCAGCAAACTTCTCTCTCTCTCTCTCTCTCTCTCTCTCTCTCTCTCTCTCTCCAAATGCTCCAGCAGGCTGGGGCACAAGGTCCTTCCTTGCCTCTTCCTTGTAGATGCAGCTTGTGGAGCTGGCAAGAAAAGCGGTCCATGATAGTCATGGCTCTCTTGGAAATCTGGAACAGCCTAGGAAGGTGCAGCTGGCACAGTAAGGCAGCTGGCTCTTTCTGTTGACCATCTGAGGAAAGAGATGGACCTCCTGGAATGTTCTAGAAGGGGGATGGCTAGAGCAAAGGTTTACCCATCTTTCATCCATCCATCCGTCTAGCTGGTTCTTCCTGTTGACCATCTGAGATGGACCTCCTGGGATGTCCTAGAAAGGGGATGGCTGGAGCAAAAGTTAACCCATCTTCTATCCACCCACCCACCCACCTACCCATCCATCCATCCATCCATCTAGCTGGCTCTTTCTGTTGACCATCTGAAGAAAGAGATGGACCTCCTGGGATGTCCTAGAAAGGGGATGGCTGGAGCAAAAGTTCACCCATCTTCTATCCATCCATCCATCCATCCATCTAGCTGGCTCTTTCTATTGACAATCTGAAGAAAGAGATGGACCTCCTTGGATATTCTAGAAAGAGGATGGCTGGAGCAACAGTCCACTCATCTTCTTTCCATCCATCCCTCCATCCATCCATCCATCTTCTCACACATTTCGTGAAATGAAAGGTCTCCTCTAAAATATCTTGGGCTTTAGTTCAGTGGAAAGAAAAGAGATCAAGAGCTTGCAGATTGCGTTCCAAAATGGATCCACACTTAATTGAAGTTCAGGTTCAAAAGAGATAAGATAAGATAACTTTTATTGTCATTTTTTATACTGTGGGCACAATGGCACACATCAAAAATGAAATTTAGTTGCCCGCTCTCAAAGTGATCAAAGTGATCTAGGTTTAAATCTGCAAACCAATTGTCAGGAAATTTCTCCTTAATTGCAGGTTGCTTCTCTCCTTGATTAATTTCCATCCCTTGTTTCTTGTCTTGCCTTCTGGTGCTTTGGAGAATAATTTGACCCCCTCTTCTTTGTGGCAGCCCCTCAAATACCGGAATACTGTTATCATGTCACCCCTGTCATGTCTCTAGACTGGCCCTACCCAATTCCGGTAACCGTTCTTCATATATTTTTGTCTGCAGGCCTTTAATCATCTTAGTTGCTCTTCTCGGCACTTCTTCCCAAAGTCTCAACATCTTTTTTTTATATCATGGCAATCAGAACTGGATGTTTTATTCCAGGTGGGGCCTTACTAAAGTACTAATACTTCACGTGATTTTGATTCTATGCCTCTGTTTATACAACCAAGGATTGTGTTAGCTTTTTTGGCTGCTGCCGCACAAGTCTGGTTCATGTTTAAGTGATTAGACCACTTCTAATATATATATATATTATATTTCAGTAAAAATAAAAAAGATTTTAGCCCCTTCTAAGTTCCTCTCCACGCTAAAGAGCACTCCTCTGATGCAAGCACCAGATGCAGTTCAGAGGTTCTGACCTTCCACCCTAGTCCTGGGCAATTGGCACCTTAGTTGTCATCATAACATTAGCCATGCACACACCATACCTGTTTCCTTGTATCCCTCTAGACAGCCTGCAGATAAGCTGATCCCATATCTGCACTTAAAATTCCAGGAGGGGATCACAAGGACAGGGGTTATCAGCCTTCTTCCTATTTTTACAAAGCTGGAGCTCTGCCCAGAACAGTGGACACTTCTAGAGATCAGAGTAAGGATTGGAGACCAACAGAAGATCCCTAGGAATTCCATCCTTGGGTGCTCATGGTTTAATTCTCCACAACGGTGTTTACTCCATTTGAGGACCAGAAGAGAGGCCGACATGGATAAGGTCTTCAGGAATTCTCATGCAGGTCTTTGGGAGACTCAGAATCAGAATACAGCTGGAAGGGACCTTGGAGGTCTTCTAGTCCAGCCCCCTGCTCAAGCAGGAGACCCTATCATTTCAGACAAGTGACTGTCCAGTGTCTTCTTGAAAGCCTC